CTCTACATACTCACCTGAGCTTCATCTGGAACTTACCTGAAACCTAACAACATAATATTCTTGATGTTAGATCATTAATAAAAAAAATCCCCATCAAGCCCAGCCCAAAAGTTCACCTTTAAAAGCTGTGTTGTCCAACTTATTAATAGCCTCCATGGCATCTTCCACTCGCTCCATGTGAACAAAAGCATAGTTTTTAACAATGTCGCACTCCACCACAGAGCCAAACTCTTCAAACTTGGCCCTTAACTCTTGATTGGTACACGCAATGTTGCCGACATGGAGCTTGGTGGATCCTCTTGCCTTCCCTCGGCTCATTTCTACATTTAATGGCTGGCCATTAAGCTCGTACTGGTGCAGGTTGCGTATAGCTTCTTCTGCCTCTGACTTGTCATCCATGTGCACAAAGCCAAAGTTTTTCACAATAGAACATTCTGATATCTTGCCATACTGGGAGAACAGAGAGCGGAGTTCATCTGATGTCGTGTCAGACGACAAGTTGCCAATGAAGATTTTCACCATCTTGGATCCTCCCTGACACTAAGAAACAGACAGAAAAAAACATTAATCCATAATCAACGTTTTCTTATTCGGAGAGTACATAAGTGGCATTTCCAAGGTCCTCTAAAGGGTTCACCAGAGAAACAGTCACATCTATAGCTTATGTTAAAGTGAGACATCTTGTTTCTTAATGGGTTTATTTAAATTTTCTATTTTGTGAGTTAAGCCTACAGTAAACACTAAAAAAGTATTGTGTAGAGGGGGAGAAATTCTACTGCATTCGTTTTATATGAAAAATACTGATTTGGGAAAGTTTACTCTGACCAAATTCTATTTGCATTTAGGTTATTTGTTGTATTAACTTTCATTGTAGTCTTTAAGACACCTGGATTTGCACATCATTTTATATTTTTGTCTTAATAAATCAGTTAAATATTACATGATCTAAACAGTTACTCTTGGCTTAAGAAGCATTTTAACAAAATACTTTTAACTTTTATAAGAATAATCTCGGGCGGTTAGTTTATGCTTGTATTGGAGTAAAATGTTGTGCCAATCTAACCACATCAACCCGTTTGAAAAGTCGGTGCTCACCCCAACACCTGAGCCTTCATTTTCATACTCGTATCATCTAGGTGTTTTTTTTTTCCCCTCAAACAAAATGATTTATTTTAGAATTAATCACCAAATGACGCTTACGTAGCTAGTTAGAAATGCTGCCTACTAATTTTGTTGAGCGGAATAAACCATTCATGTAAAACAGTTACACACTTATCTTTGATACACAGGCAGAGTTATCACTGCCCTGCCTCCTTTCAGTGGACACGCAGCACAGTGTAGATTTGCAGCTAACAGTTGGCTAACAGAACTGATCAAAACATCGGCCTTACGATTAGCTTATCAGAATATTAACACAGAATAGTAGACACAACTCCATGTTAAGCAGACGCACACAGTGGGACAAATGAACAATGCATGTTTGTTTTGTACTTCGAAATGTGCACATTTCGAAGTCATGCTAAAGCTTTGCAGCTGGCCTAGTAATGGTCCATTGTAAGACGTTAGCATAAAAGCTAAAGTCGGAGGTCCATCCACTTCTAAAAGGAATCATGCGTTCACGCAAAACACGCACTGCAGTTGGCTCGTTTACAAAATAAGTTGTAGATAGAGCTCTTTAAGTTTTAGGCGGATTCATACCTGTAAACTGCGGCCTCTGTGTTGTACGTTTTCAGAGATGAAATGGCGACTGCAGCATTGACCGCCTGACGTCACACGGAACCGGAAAGACGTATACTTCCGGGGAAGTGGAGGTGTTCCGTGTTCTTTTCAGATTTACTACCCTCCGAATACCATTGTGGCAAAAATATATTTTTCCGCGCTTCTTTACATTATCACAAGTTTTCTTCAAAATAAACGTCTGACTTTACAGAATGCATAGCTTTATGGTGTTGGGACAGAGAATACAAGCATTTGCACATCAAACGTTTGACCTAGCCAAGATTAATCATCATGAAAGCTCCACCTGTCAACTTTGAGTTTTGTGATAAAAGCCTGTTTAGTTTTGAGTTAAAGTTCTTAAAAGGAATGGGTTTGTTTGTAGGTTTGACCAAATCTATAGCCATTTCAGATAAAAGGAGAAAATATTTTCATGTTTGATTTAATCCTCTTGCCGTTTAGATGGTGCAAAATGCATTAAGCAGTAAATGTTAGATTTTATTTTCAAAACTTTGCTGAAGACTGTGAATGCCACAAACTTCTAATCCATCTCACCACCAACCTAAAAAATGTACAGAAGTGCCCATAGTAGTTAAATCCTTCCATAATGTCATGAGAGTCATGTCGTCAAACTGGGATTTCAGTCTATCGGAGAGCAGAGCCAAAACACCCAAATAACTGACTTTAATTTTTCTTTAAAAAAAAAAAAAAAAGATATGTTGTTACCTTTAAACCTAACTTTAAAGAAAACAAAGGCACCCAAAGGAAAGAAAAACAATCTTAGTCTTGCAAAAAAAAAATAAAATAAATGTATTCATATGCTACAAATTAGCACATATCAGATTTCCTCTTCTAAGCAAACAGTTCAGAGGGAAAGAAAACCATTTCGTTACACAGGTGGGTGATCTGTTCTTTTGGTACCACCACCACCTTTATTTAAACTGAGTCCAAATTAAAAACACTTCAAATGTAAAAAGGTTATTATAATCTGACCTCATAATCAAGTCCCTGATATTTTTTCGTTGTCTTGTGTCAGCAAAGCCTTTTCCATTTCTCCTAAGCGGTTCTCCAATTTGTGCACAGATAAAGTAATTTCATGTTTTGGATGCAAGTAAGCCAAACTGATCATAAGTCAATGAATATTATCAACAAATGTTTCACTTTACATAAAAAAAAACTTAAATCAATTAAAACAAGCCAGTAACAGAAAAAATATGGCTTGCATTATTGGCAACCAATAAAATATTGTAAATTATTATGACAAAAAACAAAAACAGAAAACACTGATTCAGCACATTTTTATATGACAAATTCAAAGCAAAAACATTTTCAGATTTTAACAATCTGCCGTATGCATGGAACAAAAAAAGATTATAACTAAAAAAAAAAATAGCTGAAAACCTGTCAAACTGCATTCTGTCAGTCATCCTTTTGTGAATGAGAACAACGGACTCTTCTGCAGGTAGCTGGCATCCCATTTCTAAACCAGATATCTTCTATGTTCATATCTGGACGCTACATACAGTGATGGGACTGTAGAGGTTGAGGAAAGAGTGAAAAAAGTCCTGAAGTTCCGACCTGGAAGAGAGTAAAGCATTTAATTTTACAAACAAGTCTTGTCAAGTACTCTTTGAAAAGGATGGATAATGAACAAACATTGCTCCAGTTAATTCTAAGATTCAAGTGCTTAATATGTTACAAGAAAATTAGGATCTTATTTAAGCCAATACCTTGGTACCACGGCTTTAATAAGGCGCGTATCGCTGTGCATAATGTTCTTTGGGCTGTGAAACAGAGTAGGAGCTTGTGGTAGCAGGTACTGGAGACAGCCGCTTTCGTTCGTAGTTGTAGGCCGTTGAGACAACCGGTACTCGTCTGATTGGGTTGTGTTCCGGTGTGTAGTATGCAGTGACTGATGAAGCTGGAGGCACCGGCCGGCGGTCATATGGATCCACACTGGGTGAGACCTTGGGAAGAGAGGAAGGGGGAGGCGGAGGGGGTGGAGGTGGGAGATAGGGCAAACGACGCTCTTCGAAGTAGCTTGAGCCATAAGGCCGAGCTCTGTACTTTTCATAATAATCAGCACTGCTGTAGAGACGGCTACGATCATAAACATATGACCTGTCTGCATATGCGCCTGCAGCTCGGCTCGCATACCAATCCCCCAGCTGAGCGGCATAGCCACGATTAGGCGGAGGAGGTGGCGGGGGAGGAGGAGGCGGCGGCGGCAACCCGCCAGCATAACTAGCTCGATTATACATAGAATAATCAGCTGGTGGAGGTGCGGCCATGCCATATGAGGGCTCCCGGACGCTGCGAAATCTTGTGCCATCACCGTAGCTATCGTCCCGACCGACTTGACAGTCTTTCGACCAATGACCGTGTTTCCCGCAGACAAAGCAGCCGGTATGATCTCCCATTCCCGGGGCCGGGCGAAGCCGACTGGTGGACAGTCGGACGTTGATCAGCTTGCCTTGTAAGGAGAGAGAACAAACGCATGAGACCGAGAGGATCGACACGAATAGGGTCTTACCGACTAGAACATGGTAAAGGAATGTGACCGATAATGAATGCGAAGGAGAATCATTTTTAGAGCCAGCTTATGGTGATATTTTGTCAGCGAACTGGCCCTATAACACTCTCAACTGGTCTTGCAGAGAACTCTGCAAAGCCCATTGGTGAATAACTGCAGTCCATGAGGTAATGCAACGAAAGGATCCAACATTGGTATCAACTGACAGAAAAGACAAGGAGCTTTTCCCTGCCAAAGAGTTCACCTTTGAAGGCTGTGTTATCCATCTTATCGATGGCCTCCATGGCATCCGCCAGTTTCTCCATGTGAACAAAGGCATAGTTTCTGACAATATCACATTCGACCACCGGGCCAAACTCCTCAAACTTAGCCCGAAGAATTTCACTTGTGACCTCTTCACTGAGGTTGCCGACATGAAGTTTGGTGCTGGATTTGGTTCTGCCTTTGCTCATCTCCACATTCATGCGCCAGCCGTTCAGGTCAGTCTGGTGGAGGTTTTTGATGGCTTCCTCTGCCTCTGACAGGTTGTCCATGTGAACAAAACCAAAGTTTTTCACAATATCACATTCCGAGACTTTGCCATACTTTTCAAAGAGTTCTCGCAGCTCCTTGGCAGTAGTTTCCGATGCTAGGTTGCCAATGAAGATTTTCACCATGATGACGTTTGAATTTCCTAGAAGAGTAATAAAAGTATCTCATCTCATGCTGAACAAAAATTCCAACATTAAGCATAACTAAAAGCCAATATTTATTATTCACTCAACTTCCGAAGGAAGGTGGAAATCACTGAACATCAGACATCATCCAGTCATATTTCACATTGTAATGAATTACAATATGAATATAGAGCAGAATAATTAACAGATTTACCTGGCTATGGATCACAAGTCAGTCTCCCTGCTTAGTTCCAGCTTTAGAGGTAAATGGCATTATGTGCATATTGAGATACAAACTTTCTGACAGAGGTTTGACAAGATGGCGCACCAAGCAGACATTCTTACAGTCTTTGAAAGTGAAGCTTTTACTTCTCACACTAATTATATTGATCAGATTTGACATACAAGAGAAAAAGTTGGAGGACATTAACTGTCAGATTAAGGAAAACAGCTCAATGATTGACAGCCTTGCTCAAGCTCTAAAGTTAAATGCTGCTGAACTAAATGTCTGTAAGGTGAAAGTAGAAACTCTGAAGTGTTATGGATTCTGTGTTTTCCTCCATCTCTTTTATCCTCTTATCTGCTTACACGCACACGCTGCAGCTTACATAACCATATTTATGTGTGACTGCAGCCAGTCATACATAAACGGACTAAAATTGATTAGACTACCCTTTAGGGAAGGTACAGATTGCAGAGAAGATGATGCTGGATCCTGGTTTACTTTCAGGTGTTATAATTGGGTCTCAATTTCAAAGATGAAAATACTCAAACTGATTTTTAAGAGCTGCCATAACTTTAGAACTCCCCACCTTGTCCTTAAAATGGAAATATTTTACGAAGGATTCCCCCGATTACATTATTGTAAAACTGAAAACCCGGTACCTTTCTCCCAGATTTACCAAAAGTTAAATGAATTCGTTTTGTAATGAATTGTTAAGAGAAAATACACCGAATATATCTAACAATGTGAAAATGTAAACATGAGCTCAACCTCAAGTCACGCAGCTAATTGCTAACGCCAATGTGTTACACCATTTCTTAAACGTTTATAACATTACTACTAAAGTGATACCAACTCGAATGCAACAATACAACTCCTCAAATAATTACAAACAATGTACAAGTAGTTCACGTAGAAACAAATATTTCATTGAAGTATAATTTAATGAGTTATGTTGCCAGGAAAGTGTGACATCAGTGAGCTAATAGCTAGCTAACTTACTGGTTGGTCCGTTGTATTTCCGCTCACTTCCCCTCAACCATCTGCATCAGCGCTACAATAACAGCAGTACATCTCCACTCTCTGACTGAACATGTTTACTTCACATTATAAGGTATAAACGTCCTACTCACCAATATATTGCGATGAAGGCCTTCTATTAATGAATGGACAGCGAAATGGCGCTACTGCGCTCGTCCAGACTTCTTCTTTAGTTTACAACATCAAGCTTTGGGCGCCATCACCGCCACCCTCTGTTTCAGAGACAGAATCGCAACATACGGTGTCATAATCCTGATCCCCCTGCATCCCCTTCTAGTTGGGTAGTCTTCAGGCATCATTAAGTCAGTCTTCTTGTAAGCTAAGCTCTAGTCAAAAACTTCAAATTTAAAATGGTATCTGCAGTTGATTTTAGTTCTCTCATTTTTTTTCTCATCCCTTGTACAGGTACGTAAAGCACAACTATTGTTCACATGTATGGTGTTTATACAGCCATAAGTTAAGTATTTTGATAACATATAATTATTTTTTTTATGATAATCGTTAAGAATATTTAAATCAACAAGAGGACATGGATAAAAACCAAGTCCTGTAAGTGGTTTTCACAGCCCTTCTACTGTATTCTCCACAGTTCTGTCCTATGATCTATTTGCTGTAGATTTGCAATGCACTCCAGGAAAAATTAAAGCTACTGTAATTCAAATTAAGGTAATGTTACTAAACAAAACTGGCTGGTGGTAAATACATTGCTGCTCTTTTCTTGTTTTCACTTTGACTCTGGGTTTTTCCTAATATTTTTCATGTGACATTTTGCATTGTCCACCTAGTTTTATAATGCATATTCGAGAGAGAACTTGTCATACAGCACAATTGATAGATCCTGTTCATTTACAGCAGCCGTCTTCTTTAAGCATTACATTGGAACCTGATTGATACAACAAGATTTATATCTTTGTGACAGAAGACAGATGCTGTTAGTCTCCATGACGTTTGCGCAATAAAGTTGAAAACTTCCCAACACTCCTTAGTTGGTTCCAGTCTTGCCTGTCCCATCATGTCCCACAGGCTGACCTGCAGTGTTGGCAGTTGTGACAAACGAGCTGCTGTATGAGACTCAAACGTGACCCAGTGATTTCAGATTTAATAAAATGTGGGTTGTTGAATATAATTTTATATATATATATATATATATATATATATATATATATATATATATATATATATATATATATAATGTAATTTATTTATGAAAAAATAAGTAATAGAGGACAGACATTAAAATCTTTATTTTTTTCATATTAAAAATTCTGTAAAATTAAAAATGCATTCTCAGTTGTTATATACATACAGAGCAAAACACATCTAAAAAAAACAGCCTACAATTCATACTGTCTCCCAAGGGTGTCTCAGAAAAAAAGGGGAGTTATTAATACAGCTTACAGTATAAATAACATAAATATCATTATACACAATCACAGACAACTGCAATGTAGTGGAATTGAGACTTTTAGTACACCTGAATTGTTCTTTCCATCAACAGTACTTTAATTAAACTAAATGCACATCTGTATTAATTAGTCGGTTCCCTTCATTTCTAATCATCTGGTCCCTTGCAAAACTTTTTAAATATTATGGCCAACATCAATATTTTCAGTGTGCTGCTCTAAATCATCGAAGTATGTTATGAAAATACAAATGATAAAAACAGCTACGACCTAAGAGAAGTAACTACTGCTGTTCATCAGTCTGGATGAAAGTATTTTTGGTCTTTGGATAATTATTCAGAAAAGATGGCACATGAAGTTTATGATTCTAAAGAGCTTCATTCAGAGAAAGGCACCAAGAGGATCAGATGTCCAAACCTCATTCAACGAAAGGCAGCAGAAGTTGACCTCTGACCTGATGGAGATCCCCACCTGCCTCTATAGCTGAACCTGGCCACGCTACAAAGAACTCCACTGCAGACATTTGTATCCACGAAAGATTTCAATTTGATAAAATTATACAAAATGCTTAAGCAGCAGAATATGGCGTACTACTTTGGCACTTTTTTTTTATTATTTTAAAGCTAACAGGACACTGTTGATGGCAACTCTAAAGGTGTTAAAGTCTGCCAGAGAGTCAACAGCAGGTTTTCATTTTGAACATGATGGACATGCCAGAATCTGTTCAGCACCAAGTTAGCACCTCTTTCCTAATCTGGTCATAACAGGAAACATGGAATCAGTTATAGAAACAGACTTTTAGGGTTTTGCTTTATATTCTCTCCAAGCTTCTTTCTCTCTTCTACTCTTCCTTTCTCCCCACCTTTCTTCCATTCTTGTCTATCTCCATGTTAGAATTGAAATAAACTCAAAGCATTTTCTAATAAACTTTGATATATATTTAATGGAGCATTAAAGCAAAATCTGCAACGCTCCATTTGTGAAAGTAAATCAGTTTGGCTTCACTTTGGCAGTCACACAACAATTCTGAGTGCCACACTGCCGGACAGGACATGTTAAAAAAGAGGAGTAAAAGAGAGAGTGTGTGAGAGAGAAAAAAAACAGCTTACAGCCTCATCACTCCATCCCTGCTGACAGTGTTTACACCCTGTGGTTTTTCTCTAGACATCCCAGCTCTTTACAAATGAAATTATCTGCATACCAATCATTAGTTTCCATGTGGACCAAATTATATCTCAACTGAACCATTGTTACTTTAAGGAACTGGGTATTTTTAGTGAAATTTTTGATGTTACACATTATATTGTTAGGATTGTGGACAATTAAATCCTTCAATAAAAATTTCAGCATGTAGAAGGAAAACATTAAAATGGAGAAATACTGAATCATCCCAGTTATTTTGGTCTGACATGGAGATACAGAGGTCCATTTCAGTTCTACGCGGGAAGCAGAACCCTAGACTGCAACATTTGTTTAGCATTTCCCTGATAAAGAAGCGAATGTTCCCTTCACTTTCTGGATAAAGTGCCAATTCATCGTACAACTAGACTCTCTACTTACAAAAAAAACAGGAGACTGTAGGTCACAGTGTCTAAAGAGGGACTGAAAATATCCAAGCCAGGTTTCTGATGTAAGTTGGCAAGATAGATCACAATCTTTGCTGATGCTGCTTCTGCTGTGCCATTCCTTAGACAAACTGATAAGTTGTACAACCATTTCTTAGCAACATGCCTCTTGATGTGGGATGAGAGCTGTGTCCCTGCAGAAACTGCCAGTAAGAGTCTGCTGTGGGCCGATGGTATTAAGGTCTTCTCCGCCTTCAGTGCAACGGGGATCGCTTCTTAAACTTGAGCAGGTAGAACATTCTGGTTCTTGTTCTTTAAGACGTCAGCCTGTTTTCCAGCTCAGTAGCTGCTTTCATGACCAGTCAAGATGTACAGGTTGCTCAGCGCTGAGGGGTCGTCCGTCGGCGTACTCTGAAGGATGATGTCTCTGTTTAGTGCAGGAACAAAAGGAAAAAGGTCTTATTCATCCAAAGTACACAAAACTAGGTCAGTTTGATAATACTGCTTCTTATTTCTGCAAGACAACTGCTACGCAAAACTGAAATTAAAGTCACACTCTCACTGATAAAAGTACATATCTAAGATATTTCCTAGAATCATCTTTATCTTATTTGTTAATATTAGAGTTGAACAATATGTAGCATCACAATCATCGTCTTAAAATGAAGTCTGGATGCTCTGAATATTTCGAATATATTTGACCATCTGGATGGATGGAATTCTAAAAAAAAATGTATTAAAGAAGAAACATTGAAAGAAACACTGGAAAGGATTTAAACACTAACCTGCTTCATGGAAAAAAATGTTTTCCAGAAGTTTAAACTTTACAAATCACTGAGCACTGTTCCTCTACGTAGGGCTGCAATTAACTATCAATTTAGTAATCAATTATTCTATTGATTATTCTGATGATTAATCAGTTCATTGGAGAAAAGATTGGAACATTCTGCAGATTTTTCAATGAACTACTTGTTGTATTTTATACAATATTAGAAATATGTAAAAATACAAATAAATAATTACATTTATCTAATTTCCTAAAATGCAATAACAGCATTATTTTAATGAACTCTTGATCATTTGTATTGTTTTTAGCATCTGCAGCTAAAATCAATCCTAACATCAACATGTGAAAAGTTCAACACTTTCTGCTGGTTGAACATCAATCCTGTGTGGGCTGATCTGTTGAACATTTTTTTAGTCATAATTGGATAGCAGAAGATGATTAATAGGATATTTTTAAAAACAAAATCAGGTGAACCAGATGAAGCTAACACTGCCACTTCAGGAGTTCTGGGTATAACATATTTACAGATTTACAGACAAGGAAGTATTTATATATTAAATGCAAAATATACATATTTTTGTACAGTTTTTGGTTTAATGTTAGTGTTCTTTCAGCAGAATGTCTTTTTTAAGTCTGTATACTCCAGCTAACAATTTATCAATTCATAATTAGCTGACAATTATTTCAATAACTGATTCATCACAATGAATCTGATCAGTAGTTTCAGGCCTACCTATGAATACTCAATAGAACACTAAATGTTTGTTTTCTTTCGTTATCTCACCTGTTTGTTCCCAAAACTCGGAAAACTCGGCTCTCATCTGTGATTTCCTGTGTTACCTGCCGTTCAAAATGACATGACTCAGGTTTGTGAATTCTGCCACATAACAGGTAAAGGACTCAGCTTCACATATGTGCAGATATTCACCTCATCCGAATGGAAACTCCTTCCTTTAAGGCCGTGCTTCCAGAAAGCCAGCACACTGTCCTGTAAACAGACTGCCGGGATACGGAACGTTACTCAGCTGTCAGCACAGACAAGCCGAGCTTAGAGCTGCTCTCTGAATGTTGCTGTTACCTAGTGTTTCAATTGGAAAGTCAAAACCGATCTCAGCTGCCAGCTCTTTGGATGGAAGCCCTTTCAGGTCCACTATCTTTACCTTTTCTGCACAGTCAGCATCAGGACAGAAGCAGAGTTCATTACAAATCGTCATGAAATGTGTTTTGTTGATGACATTAGAGTAACTTACTTTCAGTTGTAATCAGAACTGTGTCTCTGTCCAGCTGGGTAACCTGTACAGCTCTGAGGGCGCCACCATCTGCAGAGAGACAACATTACTGCGGGCTCTAATCTGAGAGGCTCACGGACTGAAGCATGGTGGTTTATCCTACCTGGCACTGAAGCAGGAGGAGCATTCAGCTCGATTATATCAAACTTGAGCTGCTGGCTGGTTGGACTCTCCTCATTGTTACACTCTCTCACCCCCACACACAGCTGGGGAAACTCATCTGTTACCAGAACCAGAAGCTCAAATATTGGCAGAGACTCTGGTAGTCGCACTGGTATGTGCTGCAAGAGATGAAGAACGAATCAGCAGAAATAGAAACAGTGAAGCTACATGATTAAAAACTAGGAGGCAGATGGGAGATTAAAGTTAGATACCATGGTTACTTGGTCGCTCGGGTCAGACAAGTTTTATTAAGCAAACCTAAAACCTTTAAGTACTTAAATAACACCTTGAGTCCAGCAGCATTGGAGAGTTGCACTATGACCAGGGTGCAATTAACCACACGAGTTGATAGCAACTGTAACATTCATGCACTAAAAGATCATATTCACCTCACCAAAAAAAAATTCTCGTATCTAATAAACCTCTCATAAACATCAGCTAATATTTCTATTTAGCGCTGAAACAACGTGTATGAGATCAAATTTTATTTATTAAAATAACTTAAAATAAACACATTCAGCAAATCTTCCATAAATTGTTTGGAGAAAAAAAAATTACTTAAAATGCCAGTAGAGGGCAGCAATACCTCAGTGTAGAATCTGATCACATCATTTGGACCCAAGAAGAAACTGAATGACCCTGAAAATGTGCTGGTTTATTTTCTAAAGTCAGAATATTTGAGTCACCATTTCTGGAGGATTAGATGGAATAGATGGAGATGGAGGAATAATCTGAATCCACTCTGAGTTTAGAGTCTGTAAAGGTGATTTGCGTATAAAACAGTGCAAGATGTTGAACTAAAATATTTATTTGCACAACGCCTCCGACATGAAAAGGAGTTTGTTTTACACCTACCAAAAAAAGATTAATATACACACTTAACCATGCCACAAAATCTGAGATTCATATTTCAGAACGTCTGGAAAGTACTGATGGATTTGAATGGAAGCAAAGTTATTACGCTGCTACAGGCTTATGCTGGAGGACAAACTGACCACTTTTCTTACTTTCTTTTTCTACGACTCTCCAACTACCATTATTTTCTGTTATGTCAACCATTAGCTTTATGTTTTCTCTCAACTTTTTTTCTCTCCATAGAAGCTCCATCTGGTCTGGTGTTCTATTTAGCTGTGGCTCTTTCCTAGAAAACATCGTCTGAAATAACACTGCCAATTAAATAGTTCTCTGTGTGCCTGGAAAACATATAAACACTGCCCCTTTAATGAGTTACAACCTGTCAGAAGTGGAAATAAAGTGTTTATTGTAAGTTTTACATCATGTTATAATGTAACATAAAGTCCAACATGGTGTGTCAGTGAGGAATCCCCAACTTTTCCAAGTGGAATTCCGACATCGAGTTGTTCCAAGTATTTTTCATTGACTTGAACTCAAAAATTCTGACTTCTGATTCCAAATGTAAGGTGAGCAAATTGTAAAATTCAAACAGACATTAACTCCAGTTACACATTTCCTGCTTGCATCCCTTTTTAATACAGCTGTCAACATATGAGATAACTGCTGAACTTGAGGGTTGGATAAGAGTTCATGGTTCTGTTCAGACATGACATCAACGTCCTGGTGTTAATTACAGAAGCTAAGAAAACGGATCTTGTTTGTACTTTGAGTAGTGGATGTCACAGTGCTTGTGGGACAACATATCTGCACTAACCTTTAGATGCATAAACTTCTGGAGAGGCTCATACCACAGCAGCAGCACCAGGCCGGAGGGAACCGCCCCACACAGGAAGGTACTCTCTGTGTAGGGGTTTCTCGCTGCAGTAAGGAAAAACAACAACACTGAAGACTGTGTTGGTATCAGTACATGGAAAAGAAGCACTTGGGCTGTTTATTCAGATGAGCACCAGAGATATTAAGGAGAATGTGTGGAGAATTTGCTTCAGGCTGTTGACACTTGCCAATCCGAACACTCAGCTGCTGATTTCCCACATTTCTTACAAACGGGGGGAAAAAATAGCCCAAAACGGTTTTGGACCAAGTGCCATGGACATTTGGGTTCTCACATTGCATCCGTCTTGATTATCTCTGGAAAATGTGTGAGAACTACTTTAGAGCCGGTTTGAATCACTTACCCACACTACATCTCCGACAGCCTTTAGTGTCTGGAATTTTCACAGATATGGCAAACTTTCTGGAAACGGGAGGAAACAAAGCTCAGTGTAGGAATAAAGAAAATTCAGTAAAAGGTTAAACAAAGAATATTTGAAAGTTTCTAAATGTTGAACTCTGCCTGAACTGCCCAGCCTGTACCAAACTCTGACCTGTACCGACCTGGGAATGATCCTCTCAGTGAAGCGATTGGTGCTGAGAGACAAGCTGCCGTGTTTCTTTTGCAGATGTCCTTTTTGCTCAAACAGAGCCGTTAGACTGTGGGAATAAAGCTGCGACGACTTTCCTGCACAAAGGACACGGTCTTAGAGAGGCAGATACTATAAAGCTCAGCATGTTGTCTGATGGAAGCAGCATACGGAGGAGATGTTACCTGACACAGACATCAGCACATTATTCATGACATAGAGCCACGTACATCGCTGAGGGAGCAGCTGTGGACAGAAACGAGGTCAGGTTTACTGAACAGCTTTCATACGCCTGTCAAAGAAATATAAGAAATAAACATATCCTGATCTCTTTCAGGACATGATGGGGAGCAGTGTAGCATGACAAGAAAGTGTGTGTCTGAGTTCATAAGATCTTCTCTGACCTTTTCTAGTGTGTCCTCATGAAGTTCATTTAGGTTCAATGTGTAAATTCCTTCCTCTGCTCCAAGAATCAGGTATTGATCTAAGGATCAGAAGAATGAGTTAAAGTGAGAGGATTACCTCCAGCTGAATGCAATCATGAGGGAAAAGAAATGTCCATGAGTGACTGGACAGGCATGAGAAAAACTAAGTACACCCTTTCTGTTTCCAGAGGAACTCAATGTGTTGGCCCCTCTCTGAGTGCGGGCTTTATGCATTCAGAACATCCTTTTGTATTTGAACACATGAAATGGAAAGAAATGCTTTGTTGTTAGCTTGTGTTGTTATAGTAATAACAATTAGCAAATCCCACTGAGGTAAACATAAGACAGCTGGCCTCTCATACACATGTTCAGTGGCTCTAAAGGTGGCTCTACGAGTCGTGGGATGGTGGTCTGCTCCTCGTTTTCGTCATCACTCAATTATCAGTCACAGAAATGTTCTGTATGTAAATAACCTTTAAATGTTTCAGGGTTTTTGAGTAAAGACCACTTTTGCTTTGAAGTAAAGATGACATGTTTGCTCAGGAGAACGGATGTCAAAGCTAGGCTACAAAACATTTTACCAACTGGCATTATGAACTGATTTACAGCAAGGATCAAACTGGAAACTAAAATTGAATCCGTTTACAAATATATCTCCATACCGGATATGAATTGGACCTTTTTGCCTCGTAAGGTAAAAGCACTTGGGCTGTTTATTCAGATGAGCACCAGAGATATTGAGGAGAATGTGTGGAGAATTTGCTTCAGGCTGTTGACACTTGCCAATACAAACACTCAGCTGCTGATTTTCCACATTTCTTACACCTCATAAGAAATGTGGACTTTGTTCATATGTGCTGAAATTGGCAAAGTATAAATAAACGGAACTAAAGTGAACTTTCTGGGGTTCAGGGCTTTAAGAAGCCAGAGTCCTCACCTTTTGTTTTGGGTAAGATCCAGGTAGCAGCACAGTGGATTTTTAGAGGACAGCCGTTGAAGACTTTGGTAAAGCAGGCTCCCATCTAGAGGAAGCAGATGACTTTGAGTCTGACAGGATTACAATGGCCCTTCAGTTGTGGAGTGGTGTGATAAAAAGCAGTCATTGAAATCATGCTGCTGTTGGTACAATAAAGCTACAAAATGCCCATCGATGCAGCTTTCAAGCAAAAGGCTCTTTAACAGGCAAACAAAGTATCTACAACAGAGACACAGATCATGTAAGAGGGCCATTGAATCACATCATGTTGCAGCGTGTAATCAGGATTTAGATACCTCATAACTGGTGATTCTTCTACTCAACCATGAGACTTTTCCAGATTTTAATTTCAGTTTTTCTCTTATTTCTTAGCATCCTTACTTTCAGTCATAGCAGATTCTTGTGATGTCTTGTGTCATTTAACAAAAATCTTTTCAGTCTAATTTAATTTGTGAAATCTCTCTATTTCCTGCCTGTGTTAATCTTGAGAGGATCACATGAAGGTGGTATTTTTGTATTATTTTATTATTGATATGTTATTTTTGATAGGATCTGCCCAGCAACTTTTACTGAAACTTTCAGGCTTTTGAATTTTCTTGATAACATAATAAGATCATTTGACCCTCACACATTAAGGAGGCTGGTGCTTTACATAATATTTAAAGAATAAAATAAAACTTACCAAGAAAGTCTATATGTAACACCATGCAATGCATTAGTATGTGTTAGGAGAGGAAGTGTCTGTAATTAGTCATGAAGGTGTTGGAGTTTTATTGCTGGTTCCTGTTAGAATTCACACTTACATGGACTTGAGGGGTGGGAGGAAGCCCATGACAACCAGCTCTCTAGAATTACAAAGGTTACACACAACAACACAGAGGGAGTAATAAAGACTGTACACCTGGGGAATAATACCAAATCAACAACTTTCACTGCATCTATCAACCTTTACAGGGTTCAAACAGAATCATTAGGAAGTTATTAGGTTAGCAAATCACTCCAGCGCTCTGACGTTTGCTTCTCATTTAACGAGAGAAGCATTCTCATTAAAAACTCACTGAGTCCTCTGGCTTTTTCCGCAGTGTGCTCCACTCTGGAGACAGTGGCGTCTCTCTTTTTGGGGAGGAAACCATCCTTTTCTCTGCTACTACAGAGTGTTGTGGTGGCAAACATGGGTCACTGCAACGCTGACTGATGTCCTGCGTGGCAGAACACCTGGACAAGACTTAGAATAGAATAGAATAGAATAGAATAACCATTTACTGCCATGCTGTGGAAAATTCCAGTGCAACAGCATCAAAGTGACAGACAATCGAAGCATGTAGAGTCACAGAAAGGTAGGAATATAAAATATTTAAAAACATTTATACTGAACAGTAAGGGTTATGGTGGAAAATTACTACAAGTTAACATCTGCTGATCATGTTATATTAAATGCTTGTGAACTCTCACCAAAATAACTATTTGGGTTACATGTACACAGTTGGAAGTTGTTTTCTACAGCTGCATCAGAACCAGACTGTCTCACCCCTTGTTTTGAATCCCTTATCCTTGGTATAAAACTCAAGTGTTGTCTCTGCCTGGCAGAGCTTTTCACCCAGACCTGCTTCATTATTGATTGTCCTACAAGCTCTCTGCATTGTGCACAATATATGAACAAACCTGACTGAGTGATTTCACCTGACAGTGCTTGGTAAAATAGTTTTATTCCACAAGAGGGTAAAATTACAACATAAATAATGTGCTAGTCAGTTATTTGTTGGTGTTAGTGTCTCCACATTTCATGCTGTATTACAAAACCTTGTGTATAGATTTATGTGTATATTATGTGTCTCTACAAATAACATTATTCTGATACTAACAGATATTGCACAAAGCTCAGTCAGGTTTAAGTCCAGAATGTAGAACCAGTGGCAGTTTAGTCTTTCTGTAAATCAGTAACTTGTATTTGTGATTATTATTTTTTTATTTGATTTCATTAATTTTTAAAAATATTTTTTTATGTGAACCTATTTGTGTCTTTAATAAAGCTGCTGATGATGAGTCTGCAGTTATTAGAAATAGCACACTCTCCCCCAATGAAATGGACAACTGAGTAAGACCCTTAGAAAAAACTGTGCATGTGTATTTTTGGATTAAAAAACCAACAGATGACTTATAATAAGTGACAAGATCAGAACCAGCAGACCTCTGCTGATGCATATAAAACAAGCTGTGTGTGTCTGAATGGTGTGTGTACTGAGGTGTACCTGCTGCAGAGCCGGGGTCGGCTGTGATGGCCGCATCAGGGCCGAGTGTGCAGGCCGGTCTCAGCGTCAGGTCTCTGTCCTCTGTGTTGGAAGTTAAAGAGCTGAAGGCCGGCAGTGAGGCTGTCGGACTGAACAAACCACTCTTCCTACCTCCCTGTAAAACACCAGCATGTGAGTCATCACTGGAGTGATTCCAAGTTCTCCAACACCGCTAATGTCAGTGCCACACATGAAAATAGAGTAGAAAATATCCTTTCCTATTCTACAATAGGAAAGCAGCATTTTGGCTAAGGATTTGTGTCGATATTGATATTCGATATTAATGTTACTGTCAAGGCCGATAACTGATATTTTCCAATATTACATATATTTCTTACCCTTTCAACACCTTGAAAAAAACAATCACACCGCTATGCTGTGCTGCATCACTATCCCTGTCACATGACCAGACACACACCACATCACCAACCTCCTCCACCGTGCCTCTACAAACAACTGGCAACAAGATGGAAATAAATATTATTGATCCCGGCCCAGTTTCATTTATCGGACCAATACCCATATGTTAAAAATTACTAATGTCAGCCAATATCAATGTTAGTACCAATATATTGTGCATCCCTAGTTGATAATTGATCAATCGTTTGATTAACTGTCATCAAATTAAAAAATCAAATAAAAGAGTCTTAAACCACAGCTGTCCTCAGAATCAAACTCTGTAATGTTGTGATCAAATTTTATCTCCATTAAAATTAAGAAACAAACAGTTAATATTTGTCAGCAGCTTGTGGCTCTGAAGGATTCCTAGTCGATTCAACTAATAAGTTGGTTTCTCAATGAAATAACATAAATATCTCCCAGAAAGTACAAAGACAAAGTAAAGGGATTATTAGTTTTGAAAAAAATAATCTCTAAAATATTGCTTTAAGAGGTAAAGTATAATTATAGCATAGTTAAAACTGTGGAAGTTTGTATCAAGTCAACACATCAGGCAACAGAAATAAAGACTAACTTCATGGTAATAAGAGTCATACTCACATCAGCAGATGGCGCTCTTGCAATCGTTAAACTCCTGAAAGACAAATGAGCAACAACCATGAGGTCACTGCAAAATCTGATGGCTGAATCTAGGCATGGGCTGGTATGAGAGTCTAACTCTGACTATAATGAGGGAAACATATCATGGTATCAGTCTCCACACCATAGCTGTCTGAAACATTTCTAAACAGCTGAATCTGTCTGCCTTGTAAGCAGAGGGAAAATGTAGAAGCCTGCTTTAAGCCAGCTGGCAGGCAATGCTCTGCACTGGAGGGAGAGAGCTGCACCACGGTCCATAAACCCAGAGCAAACATTCTGACATCTATGCAAGCATCTCATGACAAGGACTTAAAACCAAAGCAAAAGCATGAACATTGATTTTGTCAAATCAATGTTTTAAATCCTTTATGTAACCTCATACCAATACCATGCCTAGTCAAATCATTTAATTAGATCCAGGACAAGCAACACGACACCAAGCTGAGGCAGATGCTGGGGAGCTTGAAGGTAGGACAATAGCAGCACACGGACCAAACTCTGACGGAAATGCCACAATGAAGCAGACAAAGAAGCCCTCAAAGCTGAGAACCACTGGGCCTGTCCTGGTTGGAATCTGCATCAGTTCACGTAGTTTGAGGGCAATATTAAGAGCACATGAACACAAACCTGAAGATTATGGCAACCACACTGACATTAGCTGACAAATGCATCATAATAATACCAACTGGAGTGGTTTATTTCAGGTGGGATGGAAAAACAGAGCTGTTAGGAGAGGCTGGAGCAGGCGGGCGTGGCCTACCTCATCTGCAGGGCTTGCTCCACACATTCCAACAGGCTCCTGCAACAGGAAGACCCCCGGTGTTTATCTGACCACAGGCCTCAATCGGCCAGAACAATAGGAGGGAGTAAAGCTAAAGGTCCTCTTCTAACAAGCACTGATTACCTCGACTGAAGCCTGGACTCTTTACTTTTTCAATCTTTTTGCAATACGGCTCTGAAAATACCTCAACTTTGGATCAGCAGGAAGTCCTGTCCTTTAATATTGGATGTCTCAGATTTTGCAATTTAAAAAGGGACTTTTAATATTTGTATACATGGTGTACCATTTTTATCTGAGCAAAAACAAAACACGACAACTGGCCTGAAAAATGCAATGACCCAATCATTACTGTACCTGGACATGTCTAACTATCAGTGCAGACGGCTGGACTGGAGGTGGAAATGCAGAATTCTTGCTGACCGACTGAGTCGGCTCAGCGGCTGCCCCGTCTTGCACTGACCTAATGATTTTGGAAAAGGTTCTAATGTTTAGTGGATATGTTGCACAGCTGTGCTGGAAACCAGAATCAGACTGGGACTGGCAGTGTGGTGTGGGATCCTCACTGTTCATGAGGCGTGAAATCGAAATCGAGGGAATATGTCCGTGAAGCGGAGAGGACTTTCACGATTATGGAAGCAGGATGATCACAATAAGACAAGAAAAACCTTAAGGATCTGCAATCATTTTGTTCTGGAAATACAACTTAACTTAAATACAATTAACTTTAAGAGTCTCAAGTTGTCCTTATGTTTTCATTTTAAATATTTTTCTCACAAAGGAAACATTTTGGCATCATGGATCATTTAAAACAGACTGTAAGGATTAACTTTCTATATTTTCTAATTTAACATACATAGTTTTGCTGATAAATTGTGTTGATAAAGATGTGCTGTAAACTGTAATACTTATTTACAATAAACACAAGGAAAATATTGCATAGTGGACTTTAATGATTGAATTCAGGGTCCTGCAAAATATTCATACTCCTTACATCCTACAACACATTTTAATGTATGTATAATAATAGAAAGTGGAAAGGAAATGATACATTCAGGGTATTTAGATTGTTTAACAAAAGAATGATCTGAAAAGTGTGGCATGTATTAATATTCAGCACATCTCTAAAGCCATTCCATTGCACTTCTGGCTGTATACTTCGGGTCGCTGTCCTGCTGGCAAAGACGCTCACAAGTTATTTTTTCTAGGTCAAGTCTTTGAGGGACAAGTCCAAGTCAAGTTTCAACTAAAATAAACAGTTTATCATCAAATTCATGACATCTAGGTCACCTCTAACTCTGCACTACTGTAGGTTAGGACTTTACTGTTTGTTCTTCAGATCATTAAATAAATGTTGATAATTATCAGTCCATTTTATATATACATAATGTTATTTTTTTTCAATCTTTTAACACTTATTTCTTTATCCAAAAATCCGGTAGTGACTGATTTGTATTATTATAAAAATTGATCCAATCTTCACAATAATGTATTATTTCTGTTGGTCTATCACATTATGTCCTACAACACACTTATAATTTTAATATGATACCTTTTCAGTAAACTGTATATTTGTTAATATTTCCTAAATGTCTAAGCAAAGTCTGTAGGTGAAGCATGTAATGGAACACTCACTTCATTTTATAAATCTGATTTGTTCTGTGTAGTACGGAGCCCCTAAGGGGACATGGAGAAAAAAAAAAAAGGAAAGAAATCCCGACTTATTATCGCGAGATCCCGAGAAACTAAGTCGAGATCTCGAGATCCCGACTTATTATCGCGAGATCCCGACTTATTATCGCGAGATCCCGACTTATTATCTCGAGATCCCGACTTATTATCGCGAGATCCCGAGAAAATAAGCCGGGGTCTCGAGATCCCGACTTAGGTTCTCTGGTTCTTGCGAAAATTAGTCGGGATTGTTTTTT